CTGTGCAAATACGTACCGGGACCCCCGGGGAAGAGGAGCCTAGACTGGGCCCAGCACCTCCAATCCTAAGAGGAGGGAGGGAGAGAGAGGGAGAGAGAGAGAGAGAGAGACTTAATATTAGTCAATGCAGAAAGACAGAGCCCAGCACCACCAGGGGGGAGGAGCCCAGCACAAGACGGAATGCATACTTGCTATGGGATGGGTAACCTTTGACAAATACCGATGTTACTGAACAACTGACGGCTGCCCATCCCAAACTTAATTACCTTATGATTGCAGCTCAAAGATCCACTAGTCGTTTTCATGAAAATGCAGTCTAGTTATCCACTTAAAGTGAAACTTCCTGGGCTAAGATGCTGGCTCAGAGATGAAACACTCATGTATATCCTGGTGCCTGTGCATTTCATGATATTCACAAATATCAAATACAGATCAACCCCAGCTGCAGCCTCTCACTTTGTAAGTTACAATGTTGCAGAAATGCTTCCTGCGGCCTGTAGCAGACTGATCACATTATCTCAATCTAGGCAAAGTCATTTGAAATTCAAGGACAGCTTTTTAAAGTGGCAATAAACACTTATAAACAATTTCAAATGCTGATGTTTGATGTGTGCCAGTTCTTCTGATGTTTCTGCTGGTCTATCCTTACTTCTCATCTGGTCCCCCAATTGCCAATTCCAATAACTATTGTAAGGATAGCTCCTTGGCATGCAGTGTTCCACCAGAACCACCCTTATGTGCACGCCCCAGAGATGTGAATACATACCTCTACTCCTGACCATGCCTTCGAACATCATTCACATGGAGAAAAATTACCGGCTAAAGTTTCTTCTATAACCGACAGTTCAGTGAGTGTTAATCGTCTGTGTTTTTCCACAGCAGTCAGTGGTTCCTTTCACCGACCCCCATGTCACTACTGTGTATTGCACTACACCAACAAACAGTTCAATTGTCCATCTCAGCTAGCAAAGCTTCTTCGTATTGTTTTTTTGCTTTTGCATAACTCTCAAGAATACCAACATTTTGGACCTTACTGGGTCACATCAGTTCTGCCTGAATGAAAGAATCATTCATGGAGCAATAAGATAGCATATATAAAACGGTGTGCTATTTATTATAGGCTGACAGATCAAGACCAGACCGTGTGACATGAAAGGGCACTGAACCCCAGGACATAAGAGTGCCAGTTGCTTAAGACAAGCTCTGCCGAGTTCCCCAATTTGTTTTTTCTGCTCTGCCAGATGCATCGTTAACATTATGTTCACCACCACATCCTCTTATTAAATTCTGCGGGCTTGTGGCCATCAGGAAATTATCTTAGCTCACATGCTGGTCGTTCATTATTGGAGTTAGGAATTTTCACATCAACCGCAATCTTGCTCCCACGCCCACCAACGTTTGGGTTAATGCTGACATTGGAAGGATTCCCCTCGCTGCAAACTATCTGAGGCCATATGCCGAGAAGCTCCTGCCAAATGACACTCAGTGGTGCCAGGGGGCCTGTTGTGACAACCTACACCACAACGAGGTGAGACAAGTCTTTGCAGTGACCAAGTTACCTTGCAAGACTGATGGAGACCTTTAAAATGAACCTGCTCTGCGGAAAATACAGGGTCTGCCCTTTCCGATTTGATTTAGAAAAAGAATGTTAGCTTTCTGGCCACCCCTGGCTTAAATATTTTGAGACACTGAGCCGAAACAAGCACAACAGAAAAGGCAGAGGAAAGACAAGACTCTGAATCAGTATACTTCTTGGGAGTCAGTGACTTAAAGTGGACCTGAACTCAAAAATGGAAAATTTGCTTTATTATGTAGAAGATTTAGAAATGTTATTTGTGTCTTTAAGCAGTACCCTGGACAATCTACCTTTTCCCGTAAGTTCCTCCTGGAAAAATAGCAGTGTACTTCCTGGTATGCGAGTGTCCCTAGGCATTCCTGTATCTACAGCCTCATATATGTATATCTGCAGTGTGAGATCTAAGACACTGCACCTCTGACTGCTAGTCTCAGGAGATTTGGAGTGAGAATGGGTTATGTCACTGTTGTGCTGCTCACTGTTCTCCTAGCTGGAAGCTCTGACACAAGGAAGCAAAACCCTGCTCCTCTACCAATATGGCCGCCTCCGCACAGAGCAGAACAAGGCACAGCGAGTCCACGATGGGGAAAAGATCAGCTGCAGGGGGGTGAATGGTTCTTGGTCTTCTGTCTGCCGCTTTTGGACACGTTTCATTTCCTGTTTATAGGCCGGGAGCCGATCCCATCTTCTAAGAAGCCAGCAAGTATCAGAACTCATCGTGTGACGCACAATCACAGCTTACCAGAATGTGGCTGCCATCCTGAGATCGGCCCGAGTACAGCATGGGGGTGGGGGTCAGACGCACGGGCGG